ACCCCCAAAGAAAAAATGGTTGCTTCACACCAATGAAAATAATAAACAAACTCCTCCTATTTTCAAAATTAATTTTTCTATTTGTTGGTTAAGTTAAACAAAATGGAGAAAATACTTAATATATGAAAAATAAAACATATAACCTCAACCCCCAAAGAAAAAATGGTTGCTTCACACCAATGAAAATAATAAACAAACTCCTCCTATTTTCAAAATTAATTTTTCTATTTGTTGGTTAAGTTAAACAAAATGAAGAAAATAATAAATATTTAAAAAATAAAACATATAACCTCAACCCCCCCCCCAAAAATGGTTGCTTCACACCAATGAAAATAATAAACAAACTCCTCCTATTTTCAAAATTAATTTTTCTATTTGTTGGTTAAGTTAAACAAAATGGAGAAAATACTTAATATATGAAAAATAAAACATATAACCTCAACCCCCAAAGAAAAAATGGTTGCTTCACACCAATGAAAATAATAAACAAACTCCTCCTATTTTCAAAATTAATTTTTCTATTTGTTGGTTAAGTTAAACAAAATGGAGAAAATACTTAATATATGAAAAATAAAACATATAACCTCAACCCCCAAAGAAAAAATGGTTGCTTCACACCAATGAAAATAATAAACAAACTCCTCCTATTTTCAAAATCAATTTTTCTATTTGTTGGTTAAGTTAAACAAAATGAAGAAAATAATAAATATTAAAAAAATAAAATATATAACCTCAACCACCAAAGAAAAAATGGTTGCTTTAGACCAATCAAAATAATAAACAAACTCCTCCTATTTTCAAAATCAATTTTTCTATTTGTTGATTAAGTTAAACAAAATGAAGAAAAGAATAATATTTTTAAAATAAAACATATAATCCCAGCCCCCTTAGAAAAAATGGATGTTCTAGACCAATCAAAATAATAATCAAACTCCTCCTACATAAAGAAAGAAAATTTTCTATTTGTCGCTTCAGTTAATAAAATATGAAGCGAATATATAAAATTTAAGGTCAACCCTTTACAAAAAATATACTTCTAGCCAATAAAAATAAGATTGAAACTCCTCCTACTTAAAATTAAAGTTTACTATGAACTATACAAAAATAGATTGAATCTCCTCCTATTTTTTCGGAAAGGGTTGTGGTTAAATTTCATATTTTTTTAAAGTTTAATATTTTCTCCATTTTGTTCTATTAAACACACAGGAGGAAAAATATCTTTCATTCAGAAGGAGGAGTTTAAGTTTTATTTTAATTGGTTTAAAACATCCATTTTTTCTTTTGGGGGTTGGAAAAATATATTTTATTTTTTAAATATTAATTTTTTCTTCATTTTGCGTTTAACTTAATCAACAAATAGAAAAATTGATTTTGAAAATAGGAGGAGTTTGGTTGTTATTTTGTTTGGTCTAAATCATCTATTTTTTCTTAGGGGGTTGGGATTATATGTTTTATTTTTTAAATTTTAATTCGATTCTCCATTTTGTTTAACTCAACCAATAAATAAAACATTGCATTTTGAAAATAGGAGGAGTTTATTTTTATTGGCCAGAATTTTTTTTTTCCTAATGGGTTAAGACTAAATGTAACTTTTTAAAAATTAAATATTCACTCCATTTTTGTATTGTTGAACCAATGAATAAAAAAATTGCTTTCTTTAAGAAGGAGGAGTTTGAATCTTATTTTTATTGGCTAGAAGTATATTTTTTGTAAAGGGTTGACCTTAAATTTTATATATTCGCTTCATATTTTATTAACTGAAGCGACAAATAGAAAATTTTCTTTCTTTATGTAGGAGGAGTTTGATTATTATTTTGATTGGTCTAAAACATCCATTTTTTCTAAGGGGGCTGGGATTATATGTTTTATTTTAAAAATATTATTCTTTTCTTCATTTTGTTTAACTTAATCAACAAATAGAAAAATTGATTTTGAAAATAGGAGGAGTTTATTGTTTATTATTTTGATTGGTCTAAAGCAACCATTTTTTCTTTGGGGGTTGAGGTTATATATTTTATTTTTTTAATATTTATTATTTTCTTCATTTTGTTTAACTTAACCAACAAATAGAAAAATTAATTTTGAAAATAGGAGGAGTTTGTTTCTTATTTTTATTCGTCTAAAAGCATCAATTTTTTTTGGGGGGTTGGGATTATGTTTTATTTTTTAAAAATTAAATATTTCCTCCTCCTATTTACAAAAAGCGCAATGTTTTTATTCGTTGCTCCATTGAGAAAAATTCTAAGAATATTTATCATTTTTAAAAAATATAATGTTTATTTTAACTTTTAAAGAGAAAAAGGATAGAGACTTTTGGCCAATAAAAATAATATTTAAACTCCTCTTTTTTACTTAAATGCAATTTTTCTATTCGGAACATGCCCTGGAAAAAATGTGAGAATATTTAATTTTTAGAAAATATTGAAGTTTAAATTTTATTTTACTTGGTCTAGAACATCCATTTTCTCTTTTGGGGGTTGAAATTATATGCGTTTTATTTCTTAAATAATAATTTTTTCTCCATTTTGTTTAACTGAACCAATGAATAAAAATGTAGGAGTAGTTTAATTTTTTTATTGGCTAATAGCAGTTTTTTTTCGTGAGGGGTTGAGACTTATATTTTTTAAAGTTTGATATTTTCTCTATTTTGTTCTATTGAACACACGAATAGAAAGTAGCTTTTATTGAGAGGGAGGAGTTTAAATTTTAATTTAATTGGTCTTAAACATCCATTTTATCTTTTGGGGGTTGGGACTAAATTTTATCTTTTTTAAATATTATTATTTTCTGCATTTTGTTCTATTGAAGCCACAAATAAGAAATATTTTTCTTTAAGAAGGAGGAGTTTTAATTTTATTTTAATTGGTCTTGAACATCCATTTTTTCGTTTGGGGGTTGAAATTATAAATTTAAATATAATTTTTTCTACATTTTGTTTAACTCAACAAACAGATAGAAATATTGATTTTGAAAATTGGAGGAGTTTGTTTATTATTTTTATTAGTCTAAATCATTCATTATTCTTTTTTTTCTATAACACATATAGTAATATGTGTTATTTTTCAAACATTAATCACTTTCTCCATTTTCTTTAACTCAACCAACAAATAAACAATTGCACTTTGAAAATAGGAGGTGTTTATTTTATTGGCCAGAAGTCTTTTTTTTCTTAAGGAGTTAAGACTAAATGTAACTTTTTAAACATTAAATATTCACTCTCTTTTTGTGCTATTGAACCAATGAATAAAAAATTACTTTCTTAAAGTAGGAGGAGTTATTTTTTGTATTCTACTAAATATAATAACTGATTTTCAATCAAAATTAATTGTTCAGGTTATTTATTTTTTACTTGAAATTGTTTAAAAATATTTTATTCCAATTTATTTTTCTAAGTAAAATACTGATTTTTTTAGCTTTAAATAATATTTATTGAAATAAATTAATTTATTTCAATAATCGAAAAAGTTTTGCTAAATTTCTAATTTTTGATCACATTGTTGTAAAAAAAACGTTTTCTAAAGGTAAAAGATATGTTTTATTAGTAATATCTCTTAAATCAAAGAAACCAATTTTTTCAATGTTTACTATATTTATACATCATTTTGAAACTTCGCGCGTTTATCCAAATCAGTTCCTTTCGTTCCGCCGTTCAGAATATGATCGTAGTGAATCGTAGTCTGCTACAAGTATCACGCATGTTACCAATGCATTGACAGGTCTCACAGTTCGCATATTTATCATTAATAATTGAACAATTTACGATTTAATACAACTTGAATAATGGATAAATCGACTGTAGAATAGTTAATTTATTAATTATAAGAGCTTTTTCTAACATTGTGACTTTCGTAAGTGTAATATTTGTGCATTTTTCTTAATAATGTCGTCTATTAATCTAGTGATATTTTGGTAACATTTTTACCCATTTCAATATTACCCTCTACAATTTTTACCCTTTACCCCAACAACTTTTACCCATTACCTTTGTTACTTTTTACCATCCATTTTTTCTGTGTATTTATTAGATATCTAAAAGAGAAAATTGTAAATTTTTTTTTATTGGGACTAAATTTATTATTTTATTATTTATTTTTTATTATTTATTAATTATATAATAAATTTACCAGGACTAAAAATATAAGAATAAAAAATTGTGTCTGACTCAAACAACTTTTACTACTGACAAATGAATATTGTTAAAATAGAAAAATTCTGCCTGACTGAAATAATTTTTTAACTACTGATAAAATAATTATTCGAATAGTCTGACTTGGAAACTTTTGTACTACTTATAAAAATATTCAATGAAAGATTGTGTCAGACTAAAAACCTTTGTACTACTGATAAAAATATTAAATGAAAGATTGTGTCTGATTTTGTACTACTTACAGATTTTTAATATCAAATTTTACTATTTTTAATAATTCTTCTGTTAATTTTTTAATATTTTTTTTTAAACTTCAAACTCAATTCTAATTGTTATTAAATATTATTTGCAGAGTAAATTTTACTACTTTCTATTCTCTAAATTTTAATTAGTAAAATTATTTACTAATTTGAATTAGTGACTGACTTTTTGCTTTTGAATTAGTAAATTTTACTAATTAATAGTAATTTTTACTAATTTATTAGTAAAATTTACTAATTCAAAAGCAAAAAGTCAGTCACTAATTCAAATTAGTAAAAAATTTTACTAATTCGAATTTAGAGAGTATGATAAATTTTCTAAAATTTATACAAAGAAATTTTCTTCGAAAATATTTAAAGTTATTGTAATAATAATTTTTAATTTTCAACTTTACTATTTGTACAAGAAATTATACCAAGTCCGAACTAAACTTTACTAAATTTCACTGAAATTGAATTCGGATATGGAAAAGTTCGTGAAATGTTTAAACGAAAGTAATTTAACAGAATTAATTAATTAATAGAAATTATTTGTTTTTAATTTTTTTTATAATAATTCGAATATAAAGTATTTACTCTTCTTTTTGTTTCAGGTGAGTTAAACAGCATGTTTCCTGTCGAGATTATTCCGTAAGTAAATATAATTATTATTTATTATTAATTATTGTATAATTATATATTATAAGTAGATTATAATTATCAGAGGAATAATTTAAAAATTTTGAAAGTAATTAAAATTTTTTTTTACATTAAAAAAATATGACTATTACTACTGATATTATTAAAAGAAATTCTGCCTGACTTAAATAATTTTTTACTACTGATAATATTATAATCAATATTAGAAAAAGTTGTGTCTGACTAAAATCTTCCACTACTACTATACAGAGGTAATATTTGAAAAAAATGTCTGACCATATACTAGACTTTACTACTGATTTTTCTTTTATCCTTTTGTCAGATCATAATTGTCCTTAACTACTAATAATACTTTACTTCTTAAATTTTTAATTCCACAAAATATATATTTTTTAAAGATTAGTGCAGTGTGAAAAAGCCATTTGAGTAAATACGTAAACTTAACATAAAATACAATTTTAAATGCTAAAAACTATTGAAAATTTTTTTAAATTCATATAAATGAAAGAAAAATATAAAAACAAAAATTTATAACATAATATTTTGCTAAAATCGCAAAGTGTCTTTTCCCCCCGACCTGGTGAAACAAATATTGGTTTACATTACAAATAATAACGTAAATTTTCATTAAACATTAAATAAAAAAAAAAAAATTTCTCTTATTTCAAAGTGAAAATTTTTCAAATAACAGTTGACACTAACAAAGACAGAGATAAGACTGGGAATTACTCGAATTCCCTCTAAAAAAAACCGAATTCAGTTCACTGGAATAATTATAATGATCGTTTTTTATGAGCGTGCAGTCTAAAGGTCTTTTCGGCCGAAAAAAAACCTTTCAAGAAAAGGCATTTAATTCTGAAATCTTGTCTGAACTTTTCTTCTTCTCAATTGAGGAAAAAAACACTTGTGTTCTTTTACTTAGGTGAGACGAGAGAAATAAATGCCGAGGCCAAAGAAAGAAAAGTTTTAACCGCTTTTTCTTTGAACCTAACCCATGTGTATGGATGATTGATGCTTCAAGGGGTCTCATGAGTTTAGGTTTTTATCCTCAAGAAAAAAAAATTATCAAACCTCTCCTCAAACATATTTTCTCCAATTTTTATCCTAATTAATTTTTTTTTTCATTATATTCGCGAATTTCACTTTTAAAGAGGTCATGAATAATTAATTATAGATTAATACCTAACTATTATATAATAATATTAATAATAAAATAATAATAATAATAATAATAATAATAATAATAATAATAATAATAATAATAGTTGATATTATTATTATTATTTTTATTTTTACTATTTTTATTATTTTTATTATCATTCTTAATTTTGATTATTAATTTATAATTAATTATTATGAAAATAAATTTAAAGTTATTATTATTGTTTTTATTTTTACTATTATTATTATTTTTATTATTATTCTTAATTTTGATTATCAATTTATAATTAATTATTATGAAAATTAATTTAAAGTAGATTACAAAGTTAAGAATATAATTAATTAGAAACGAAAAAAGATAAATTATGGATGTAATTAATTAAATATTTCCCTTTGTGTATAAAGTAAATGAAAAGCAAAAGTAAAGACTTCTTATGTTTGGAATTGACTTTATAGTTGAATTAAAATTTCTTTAATGAAATATACATTGCATTTTAAGATTTATTCGTTTTTCAACTGTAATGAATATTTATTAACAGCGATGACGTAAGGTTTAAATTTTATATTTTTTTGTATTTAACTATTGCATAATGATAATCAATCAATTTGAATCAGTTGAAAAATTAATTTATCATTTTTAAGTTAATTAATTTATAATTTATAAAATTTTTAATTAAATTAGTTCGTAATTTACAACTTAATTAATTTCAATTAATTACGTAACATAGAGATAATAATATCAACCAGTAGATAAAGAGTTTTTAGTTAGACAAACATTTACCTTATTTGAATAATATTAAAATCAGTAGTAAAGAAGTTATTAGTCAGACAGAAGTTTTATTTATTTTAATAATCATATCATCAGTTGTAAAAAATATTTCGCACAGCTAGAATTTTTTTATAATACTAATATCAGTAGTAACAAAGTTTTTAGTCAGACACAACTTTCACTTATTTAAATGATATTACAATCAGTAGTAAAAAAGTTTTTAGTCAGACATAATTTTTTGAATATTTTCCTTTTAAATTATAATTCTACTATTGATTTCTAAAATATAAAGAACTATTTAATTAATTTAAAAATAAAAATAATTTAATTGAATAAAAAGAAAATTTAAAGAAGAAATTATAAGTCGCATAATTATTAGAAAATTTTTAGGATGACTAAAACTATTTTTTACTACTGCTACCAACGTTACACAGGAAAAAAAAAGTCTGACTCCGTTTACACCTTAAATTCAGCCCATGTATTTCACATAAGTCTGTCCTTGTTTAACGGGGCTGACTCCGTTTACACCTTAAATTCAGCCTCAAAAAGAGGCTGAAAGTAAAACTTCTTTTTTAGTGTGTACAGGTGTCTGACTAAAACTAATTTTTACTACTTTCACCTTCAGAAAAAAATTTAACTCGCGTCTGACTGAAATTGCTTTTACTACTGAATCGACTACTTTATCAATAAATGGATAACAAAAAAATGCAGAAAATCACGTCTGACTAAAATTGTCCATTACTACTGCTGCGCGTAAATAAAATAATTAATAAGTCTGCGAATTTAATTAAAAAAATTAAGTTCAGAACAAAATTATATTTCTAGTACTTGGAAAAAAAAGTCTGATAAAAACTATTTTTTCTACTGTGATGAGCATTACAGAAATTAATTTGTCTGGCTAAAAATTTCTGTTACTACTTAGAGTCTTCAATGTTGCAGTGTCTGACTAAAAATGACTGTAACTACTGTTACCATAATATTTTCTCTGTCCCCTCTTTAAATTTCCAAAGATTCCATAACTATATTATGGAATATATATAATATAAATTAACTAAATTATTTTTAATAAACATAATTATAATAATTAGAGAAACATAACCAGCATTATATAACAAAACATTATTATTTAAATTAAATTAAATTATTATTTATAATAAACACAATTGGTGAAAAATTAAAGTTTACAAAACATTTTTATTAAAAAGAAAGAAGATGAATAATTATTCAACAACAATAAACAATATTTCCTAATTACATTCATATTCACTTTGGGGAATTTATTTAACATTTCAAATAATGTTGAACAGATAACAGTAATTTCTAGATACATATAAATTTTGGCAGAGAACTTTCTATGCAATGTGCAGAATGCTATTCCAGTTGGGTTACTTTTAACATATATATATATGAATACAAGTATGCAAGATCACACGAATTTAAATTCGCTTATATATCTTGAAGCTAATCGATAGTGGGTTGCATGGTCACAGTTCGTTTCTGGTCACCGCATCCGAAAACAAGATTATAGGCTTTCACATGGGTGTGCCGAGAAACACAATGTTTCAATATCCCCTTATTTAAAAGTCACTTGATTCTACAATTCCGTTCGTAATCCTGTTTTAAATTCATCAATCTCACGGTGAAATTTTGTTTCACAAAAAAGAGAGAGAGAGAGAGAGAAGAGAGAGAAAAAATCCCCATTAAATCTGTCAGTTTAATTTTTTTCAAAGTTTCACTTTAATCTGGGGAGGAATTCTAATTACTTAAAAATATCTCGTATTCAGTTTGAACTTTAGTGCGTAAAGAAATGAAGATTTCAACTCGCGTTCTTTCTTTTCTTTTGTTCTGGTTATTCTTCTTTTTGTTCTGCATTCTCTTCTTTTTGTTATTATTCTTTTATTTTTTATTATTCTTCTCCTCTTTCGTATTTTTCTTTTACTTATTATTCTTTTTTTTTTACTTTTTTTGTTCTGCTTTCCCTTTTTTATTATTTTTCTTCTATTTCTTATTATTCTCTGTACTATTCGTATTCTTCTCTTTGTTAATCTTCTTTTTGTTAGTGTTTTCTTTCTACTATTTGTACTATTTTTCTCATTTTTTTTACTATTCTTCTCTTTAGTTTTATTGCCTTCTTTATTCTTCGTCTTTAATCACTTTTATCATTCTTCTCTAAAATATTCGTATTCTTTACTATATTTCCATAAATGTCCTTAAATTTGATTCAAGTCTGTAAAAGTTAATTTTTTTTTACAAAAAGTCCGTAAAGTCCGTAATTGGATTGAAAAAAAGACGAAAAGTTCGTAAATTGTACGATATAATTTGGATAATTTAAATAATTGCAAAAATTCAATTATTTTCAAAAGTAATAAAATTCATCGCAAAAATTCAATTATGTTCAGAAATTTTTAAAAATTCTCGTTAAAATTTCAATTACCTTTATAAATAATTAAATTCTTCTCCGACATTCAATTATTTTTAAAAATTTTAATTAAATTCTTCTCTAAAAGTCAATTATTTTCAAAAATTTTAATAAAATTCTTGGAAAATTTCCTCAATTCAATGATTTTTAATATCTACTATTCTAGTAAAATTTTCCATAAGAATTCAATTATTTAAAAAAGATTTAATAAAATTCTACGCAACCTTCCATTATTTTCATAAAATAATAAAAATTTCACAGGAATTCAATTTTATTTACAAATTTTTTATAAATTTCTTTGCAATCATTTAATTATTTTCATAAATAATAAAATTTTTACAGGGATTCAATTATTTTCGAAAAAAATAAAATTCTTTTTATGAATTCAATTATTTTCATAAATAATGAAACTCATTGCAGAATTTCAATTATTATTAATACAATTTTAATTAAATTCCTCGAAAAATGTAATTATTCTTAAAAATTTTATTAAAACTTGTCAAAAGAATTTAATTTTTTAAAAATTTATTATGATAAAATTCTTTATGAGAATTCATTTTTAAGAAACATGCAATTATTCAATAAATTGTTTGTTTTGTATTTAAACAATTGAATTTTAGTAGAATTTTCTAATAAAAATGG